AAATCATACTCTCTTCTTCTAGTTATAAAGTATTTTCAGTATATTTTGTATAGAATAAAAAAAAAATCTTAAACTATACTAACTCTTTCTTAAAATATAATAACTTTCAACTTTATTCGTATTTAATATATACACATTAAAAAAAAAAGTATCTATACTATAATAAATAAAGAATAAAATATTATATTCATACTAAAAATTTAATGACGTATAAATAAAATCGAGAAATTTTTTTTTTTTGTTTTTACCTTATAAATAAGACAAGAACCAGAAGAGATGATATTAGGTTGGTAAAAAACTATCTATCATTATTAATATCTGCCATTGTCTAGTTCCCGTTGCGTCTTCAATATAATCCGTTAACAATAATTTTCAAAGCTTTCTTATCATCAGAATTACGAATATTCACGGCAAATGCATCAAAAACTTCAACTTGATCATAAAGACCAATAAATTAATTCTAACTCATGTTATACTCTTGACATCATTCATATATGCTACTTCGTCTAACCCTAAATAATAAGACTTAGATAATTAATTTAAAATAATTAAAAAAATCAGTTAATTTAGTTATTTATAAAAAATTGTATATATTAGTTCTTTTAACACATTTAATCTTTATGAAAACCAATTTTTAATATATACAATCAATAATAATAATAATAATTTGGAAGAAAATTTATAGATGTGAAGGACAAAATGAATTGAGTTACCAACATAAAAATTCTAATTAATTTTTATATTTATGGCCAAATAAAATGTATTTCAGAAAACTGCCGTGTTGAGAAGTCACAAAATGGAGATATGAATAGGAACATTGAGTGGTGTTCCTTGAGGATTAATCTAGAACGCACTAGGGGAGATCGTGAGTCTGCGGCCCCATCAGTACGGCGTCGTAAGTCAAGACAGTTGACACCCCGGACAGGAAATATGACTTTGAAAACGACGTCGACTTATGACAACTAAGATGCGGCACAGCCACCCTAACGTCAAACACCCACTGGAGAGGAGTTATTATTCTCTGCGCGTGCTTGTTGCTAGCTATCATCACGCCCTGACCTAATTGCCAGTCGCTCTTTTTAACGACTTTTATCGTCGTTTTTAATGGAATGCTTTTAAGTTTTAACAATACTTGGACTTATTATAGTTTGAAGCTTGACGGGGTTCCTTCTTGGCCTAAAAAGTCAGGTTTCATTTGAGTATAACTCTGAAATTTTATTCTACTAACTTTAATTATTTATTTTTGTCTCATGAGATACGGTCTTATTCTAATTGGTGATAATTTTCAATTGGTTTATGTTTTGCATTGTTATTTAAGTCGGTGGTACTTACAAATTGGGTTTGATATATTCTTTACTTCCTTAACTATTGTAATGAAGCACTACAACCTTTTATCCACTATCTTCAGTCCACAATACAAGCAGGGCTAGTTAACTAATTTGAGTAGATTTAGAAAATTAGTTAAATTAGTTATTTGTAATACTACTTTCAGTTCTAATTATAAGACCTCATTTGTAGTGTAGCAAAGATATATATTTTATGAAAAACAATACTTATTTATTAGTGTATTACAAATAAATGATGTAATAAATAGTAAATAAATGTTGCCTTTTTTAAAATATCTTTATTAATCAAGTGTATTGGCTAGAATTACTATTATTATAAGAACTATCTTGAGAAAAAAAAGATAAATATGAGGGACAAAGTGGATTATGGTCTTATATTTAAGACCAAAATAAAAGTTAAACAAATTCTTATATCAAGAACAAGAGGTAACATTATTGTTTTACTTTTCTCTGAATGTTGGGAAGACTATTCCCTAATTAACCGCTCTCGTCTGAAAGAAATTAGCCTCAAATTCAATGTGATTTGAGGGTAGTCTGATTAGTTTCATCTGAAAAAAACTGTTTTAATACGAAAACAATTAACCATAGTTGACTTTACCCTATTGCTTTCCTCCTTTGTCTTTAAGCTGGCTTTATAATAAAGCAGTCTCCACGCTCATCCCTGGCTTCTCATATTCCCATGTTCATGCATGCCAACTCGTTTGCTAGTGTGAAACCCTTGAAATATCCGAAGAGTTTAAGGAATAGTGCAATCATGTTGTAATACTGTGTGGATTTTAAAATAAGACAACCTACGTGAGAAACACATTTATTTTTTTTCCAAGCAAGGGGGTGACTTTATAAATGAATGTAGACGTTTTATGTGTTTGAAATTATATTGTTAGTTATATCTCCACGTCTTGTCACCATCTTCCCCGTCAAATAAGTAGTGCTTCTACTTTAATTTGTTTGAGTCGTTGTAAACTCATCAAAAGCTTCGATTTATTTTTTTTTAATACATGGTTGATCACGATCCTATATTTATTTTCCTTTAATAACTAAGTCAGTTCTCACGTGTTACATAAAAATTTAAAGCAAAAATATATTAATTTTATATATAATTTTAGCTCTATTTTTTTAATTATCTAAAGTTTTTTTTAAGTCTTATAACCTTAACATTATTAGTATCTCAAATGATACAGAATTCCAACCACTATTTCTGTAAATATATAAAGTTGTCAAAATTTTTAATGTCTTTTTATTCAATATAACATTTAATTATGAAAAGATGGACGCGGAAATGTATCCATCACTTTTAATATCATCGATCCCCCAGTTCATATTCATTTACCATCTCTAAAATCTAGCCAATTGTGACTTGCTTTCTAGTTGTCGGCCGCGTATTGTTTATATATTATTAAAATAAGAGTTAGATTATTAATTTATAAAAATTTAAAAAAGAAGAAGTTAATTTAGTTATTTATAATAAATAGGCGTTGTCTTTCTGAAAATATTTCTATTAATCATTTGTGTTGTAATAATTCTTTCAATCACCATAGAAATTATTTAGGAGTAAAATAAATAAATATAGGTTTTACAAAATAAATATAAAAGATAAAATAGATTAAGCTTTTATATTTAAAACTAAATTAAAATTTTAATTAAATCTTATAATAAGGGTATGGGATTATTTTTTTAAAAATAGTTTGTATTGGATTATTCAGATATGCGAATGCATTAAGTGAGATATCCATAATTTTTCACCATCCAATGTTAAACAAGAACGGATCTGTGTTGGCATGTTGAAAACATTAACGAGGTAATTGGTGCTTCAGTCTGACATATTTAAATAATAATAAGAAAAAAATAATTATCAATCTCAGGTATAAGGAAAAATTTAGTTTATAAGAAATGCAACTTGATTTGTAAATATAAAAATTTGACTCATGTACATAAATTGTTAAATTTTACTTATAAATATGCAAATTTGGCTTATGAGAAATATAGTTTTCAGGGCTCTTCATGTTTAATTTTTTTAATCTGATAGTTGTGAGTAATTTTTTCTAACAATAATTGTATGTGCTATAACTTAGTGGTTTATACTTTATGCTAGCTAAATGTTAGGTCATCTTATGTACTTTTATTAAGTACTTTTAATCTTTTATTAGCTGTCCATGAATGAATTTGTTGACCTGGAAGAAAGTATTATTAAAAGTACAAATTTTTCCTAGCATGAAAAATTTATTAAGAAGGTTAAACTTAGAGAACCAATGAAGAATAGACCCTAGCCTCTAAATTGACCAATTAATCAAATCAATCTAAAATTATAATATTACTTCTAGTTATAAATATAAAAGCTAGTTAGAGATTCAATTCGATCCTAAATATAATATTTTAATCTATTTTGTCTCTTATATATTTTTTTTAATTTTTTTCAAATCAGTTACATAATTCTTATGAATCATTATGAATCAACATATGAATATAAAATATGTTCCCTCTGTTTAATTAGGCAAATTATTAACAGATGCGCAACAAATTATCCAAGAACTCAATCATCTATCTAGTATGGCAGGTTTCTTAAATCTAAAATCCAATGTTGTTAGTTTGATTTCTGACTCCTATTTTTGTGAGATCATATAAAACATTATTTTGAGAGAAATGTAATACTAAAATAAAAATATACTACCTCCAATTCTTAATATAAGATCCTGTTTGACTTTTATTTTGGTCCTAAATATAAGACCCCAATCCACTCTATCTCTTATATTTTGGTTCTTATAATTAGGACCGGAGGTAGTACATGACAATAACTCAATCTTAAACTGTCCAAATTTGATACCACAAAATGTCCAGAATTGTTATATGGACCATGTGAATGTAATTTGATTATCTTTCAGCAAAGTAGAGAGTTCAAACATTATGAGTAAAAATAAATTACGTTGAAAAATATTACTTTCAATTAACTCAATATTGTTTATTTTATATCTGGTAAAAAAATATTGTCGATTATAAGATAATAATATATTAAAAAGAGGAGTGGAAATAAGGCAAAGGGAGAAACAAAAAAATATAGAGCCTTACCTCCAGTTTAATTACTCAATAATACCACTATAAGATAATATTGAATATTTCTTTTTTAAAAAAAAATGAAGATTGAGGAATTATTATTATTATTATTTTCCGGAGAAGATGGGGAATTTGGGAATAAGAACAGTATATTGAAAGAGACAGAGGAGGGACTAGCCTCCTTGCTGGCCGTCGAATGTCAATATTGGCTTCCCTGACGCTTCTCACAGGTATGCTTTTGTATTTGAGAAATAACTTCCAATTAATTAAAACTTCTTTTGCTAAAAAATAAAACTTCTTACTTTTTTAATTATTATTATTCGGCCTTCAAAACAAAGGATCTTTTCCCACTGTAAGGTTTTGTTTTGGATCTATAGCAACGTTTTCGACCCAATAGTCATGGCCCGTTCTCTTTTTTGATAAAATGGCCCGTTTTTCTTTCCATAACCAATGGGCTTAGGTCCAATGACTGAGTTGGGCTGCGTTATGAGGGGAACAATTCCTTAAATGGGCTGGCCCAACTCGACACCTGCGAACTTCGATCAAGCCCGGCCCATCACACAGAGGCGTTAAGGGCATAGGCTTTTCTCAGACCGAAGCTGGTTCTTCTTCTTGGTGGCGTAGAGGAAATTGTGTTTGGGAGAACAGAAAATCGGAAAAAATGAGCGGAACGGTGAAGAAGGTCGCCGATGTAGCGTTCAAGGCAGGGAGGACCATTGATTGGGATGGAATGGCCGCGCTCCTCGTCTCCGATGAGGCTCGCAGAGAGTTTGCTACACTTCGTCGCGCTTTCGACGAGGTTAACCATGCTCTCCAAACCAAATTTAGCCAGGTTCGATCTTTTCTTCTCCTCCTGTTAAATGTTATTTATCCTGATTGGTGCTTCTTTCTTCGCTAGATCTCTCTTATTTCTCCTATGAGATATGATTATGTACTTGTAAAGACGGATATTATCAAGTTTACGATTTGGTAAGTGAGCCTATTCATTTCGGAAAATTTCCGATTGAGCGGTGCGGTTTAGTTCCCAGAATGGCTTTCGATCTGTTGTTTACGTCTTCCGAGAGTTCAATTGGGTTCATGGTGAAGAGGGCTTGAGAATGTGCGTTAACGGAACGAGGGCCTTGAAACTGAACAAGCTTTGGTTACTTTAATTCGGTGAATATACCATTTTATGTCTGATTTTTTGGGTAATTTGAGGGTGGAAGAAAATTGAAGTTTGGAATTGAACTTAGACACCTAAAAGCTGGAAAAACTGGCATTGCTGGGCAGTGGGCACACTCAAATTTCTTCTCAGTTTGGACTGCGGCTTTTAGTGAACAGAAAATAAAGTTTTGAAACTTCCTTTCACTGTACTTATTTGGCTGGGCAAGGTTTCTTTAGTGTTAGCCTTGTGGGTTGGGTGTTTGTCAGGGGATCTAAATAGAGCTTGAATTTCCTTCTCTATTAATCAAATATGCGATTAGGGAGTTAGGGCAAAAATATTGGAGTTAATGTTCATTTTACAATTTGGTTGAGCAGAATCTTTAAAATCCTGATATTGGAAAATTATAATGTCCTACGCTCCTTTCAAGAGATAATTTCCGTTCTCCATACGTTTTTAATTGAATTGATTATACAAGAATTGGGGGAAAGCTATTTACTTTGGCAAGTTACGTCAAGTATTCAGTTTAGCTGATTAAATTGGGGTGGTTATGTCCAGAATTCGAAATATTTGATTCAATTTATATTTAGAGAATATATGGTTTCTCAATTTCCATCCGTTGGGTCAAATCTAAGTGTGGTAGCCGTGAATATCAAGATTGGAATGAAAGATCACGAAATCAAATATGTCAGATGTAAATATTATATGGTGCGACATAACTGTCACTGAAAGAGGATTCAATTTATATGTAGAGAATATATGGTTTCTCAATTTCCATCCGTTGGGTCAAATCTAAGTGTGGTAGCCGTGAATATCAAGATTGGAATGAAAGATCACGAAATCAAATATGTCAGATGTAAATATTATATGGTGCGACATAACTGTCACTGAAAGAGGATTCAATTTATATGTAGAGAATATATGGTTTCTCAATTTCCATCCCTTGGGTCAAATCTAAGTGTGGTAGCCGTAAACATCAAGATTCGAAGGAAAGATCACCAAATCAGATACGTCAGATGTAAATATTATATGGTGCGACATAACTTCTTGGATAAGCATATCACAAGCTAAACCTCATTATACTTCAGCTAAACAGGTCATAAGTTGCTGAACCCACAGCCTCGTTAACGAAAACTGCTTAGTCACTGAAGTGACTGTATCCATATGCTAACCAAATCATAGGTCATAAATGTGACATTTCACAAGATGACAATAAATAAATTTAGACACTCAGGACTCCTTCTGTTGTCAAGTTTTTCTGAATCATCCTCATCTTCCATGATCTCATTGCCATTGAAATCACTACTATCATTGTCAAACCCAATAGTAACTGCAAGATAGGGACAATGTTGAAAGTAAGAAATATTGGAGTTGGAAATTTTGAATGGAGGAAGATAAAGATTTGAGAACAAGATGAAGACTCCGAAGGTTGGTGCTGAAAGAGAGAACATTGAATGGGCAGATGACCTGGCTATAGGTCTCAGTTTGGGGATTTCAAAATCCCTCAACTAGAATGCCCTGTTCTGGAGGCTAGACCATCAGTCCTAATTGAGTGGGATCACATGATCCAACTAAGGCAATCTAGATCTTATTGATTTTATATAGATCGCATAGAAGTTTTATAATTTTTTTAGGGCAACTCTTGCAATTTTTCTGCATATGTAAAAATAAATAAAGGTTTTTCCTTAAAATTTCCTCTGCATAGTTTTTCCTTGAATAGTGTTAATCTAAGAACATTTCATGGAACAAGGGAGCTTACATCTCTTACATTTATAAATGAGAGCTTGTGATATAAAGATGTTGCAACAATATAGAAACAGGAGGAGGAATGAAGAAATTGGGAGATGCAGAGAAAAATGAAGGGGAGAAGGAATCAAGGGAACTTCTAGAGAACCTGAAAACTTTATTATCAAATCATAGGCTAGTTCAACCCTCGTACAACTATAGACATTATAAGATAACTTCTATTAATGATTTTTTTTTTTTGCCATCAATGATTACTTGTAATATGTTAGAATAAAAAAATGATATTAAATTTTAATCCTCGTAAAAATAATTGAACTGGTCATTTCTGTTCAAAATAAAATAAAGGCAATTAAAATTTTAGCTCATAATCCTAATCCTAATTAAAGTATTGTTTCTTGTATTTATCTCATTCTCTTCCCATTTTCCATCAACTTGCTACCGAAAGTGATCATGCAAATTAGTCAGAGGCTTTCACATATACTTTGTACAACTGATTACTTGGATCCTCATTGTTGCTTCTTCATTTTCACATCATGCAGGAGCCTGAACCCATAAACTGGGATCACTACAGAAAAAATATTGGCTCACGCCTGGTGGATATGTACAAGGAGCATTACGAAAGTAAGTTCAGAGTTCTTCGCTGGTTGAACCTTGATCCCTTCAGTTTTTTCATGTGGTGTCAGAATAGGTAGCTGACATAACCCCGGTGCATTTTTTGTGTTATATTTTATTTGTGAAATTTTTAATATGGGGAATATTGCTGATATAGAAAAGTTCCCTTGGTATATTATTTTTTTATGGTGTCAGACTGGGTTGTTAACTCCAGCGCTTTTTATCCCCCTGGTGTTATGTTTTTTTGTTGAAATTTTATAATATGTGGAAGAATGCCGATATAAACTCTAAACCTTGTACAATTCCTACTTTGACTGATTAGATGGAATGGATTTTGCCGTCAAACCCTTGTCTTTAAGCTGGCAATGGGTGAAAGCCTTTTTATAAATTCAAATTGTGCAGTGTGCTCTTGGATCTCCCCAACCATAGTCATCTGTTTTGTCTTTATATATTTTTAATTTTTCCGTTTCTGACTCTTTGCAGGCATTGAGATCCCCAAGTATGTTGACAATGTAACTCCTCAATATAAGCCCAAATTCGATGCACTAGTGAGTACTGTTGTCACATCCTAAGCTCATTTCCTGGTTAAGTACTCGTTCAAATACATAACATCTTAATAACATACTCGTGCTTTGCGGATGTAGTTAGTGGAACTTAAGGAAGCAGAGGAGAAATCTCTAAAGGAGTCTGAGCGACTGGAGAAGGAGATTGTTGAAGTACAGGAGTTGAAGGTAAATTGAAATCACTTTTGAGTTTTATCCCCTTCTCAGCAATGAAATGTCTCTAATACAATAATTTATGATTGCAGAAAAAGATTGCTACTATGACCGCCGATGAGTACTTTGAAAAGCATCCTGAGCTGAAGAAGAAGTTTGATGATGAGATCAGGAATGATTACTGGGGTTATTAATTTCGGTAAATTTTAAGAAAGCAGCAAAACATCAGAAATTGCTGTCTTCCTTGCTGGTTCATTAATAATTCTAGTGACTTCAATCAATTTCTTTGTAATGCAGTGCTCTTTCAATCTTAAGGCTTCTTCAAATGACCAATTTCTGAGTTGTTGGAATTTTTGTGGAGCTTTACTTAAGAGAAAATGATGTGTATTATGATTTTCACATGCACCATTTCAAGGAAAATGACGCGTTACCGATTCCTTAATAAAATTTGTTGCCTGTATGAAGATTCTAATGTCTGCCTTGCTTCTGCTAAATATGTACCCGTACTCCCATTTTTCTCGACTGTGGAGAAGCATTGATACTCGTTTTACACAGAGGACAGCAAGATACGAATTTGTGGCCACAATTTGGATGAGAAACCTGGGCGGGATTATCATATTGTCGTGGGAAATAAGAGCGTTTATTGTTTGAAATTGTAATTTATTTGGGAAAAACAGAACTTCAATTCTCATTTGGACAGAAATGGGTGTGGGGTTATAATGTCAGTTTATTGTTATTTTAAAATGAATGAAGTTCAGAAATTTCCAAGTGCGCATAATTTGCAGCTGTTTCTACACTATTTGATGCTAGGAAGATCATGAAGTTAAAATTTGATGCTATACTTTGCCCATTTGTCCATTAGTCCTGTTTTTGCCCCCCGACATTAGCCTCCTATTGTTCAATTATTTCATGAGAACAAATAAATAATATTAGGAAAATAACAGAAAAAGACTGAAAATTATAAATTTTTTTTTTACAAAAATGTATTGTTATTTAAAAGTCAATTGTCAAAACTTATTAAAATATTATAATATATATTATTTTACCTTCAATATTGTAAACTTTTCACCGGAGCAATGGTATTCCTCAAGTATTAAAGTCATTATAATGTCACTCTTTAACCAGCAGGTATTAACGTTAACCGTTAAATTTAGATTGACTTGGAGTTAAGGAAAATGTCCTTAAAAATAAACAAAATTCTAGAAACCGTTTGAGTGGGTATATTCTTTTTAACTACGGACGACGGTAAAAGAAAGAATGCATATTCACACCAACTGAATGCGTTAATAGCTCAAACTGAATTCATAAGATGAAAACAGAAAGAAATGATTAAAATCTGTACACTAGGAGGAACAAATTAATTTAACATCGTTCCCTTGAGGCAATTTACAAGTGCAATACAAAATGGATTACAATCATACTGCTATAGTTGGCAGAACCAAAAAGTATAGAATGACCAAGGAAACGGAATGGTATCTAAGAGATGTCGGCAGATTCAAAATGAAATTGCTATTATGAACTCAAAAGCACTTTTTTTTTTGCCCCCCGGTATTGGTTTGCTGTAGATTACACATTAATCAGAACTGTCCACCTTCTTCTGAGACAGCAGGTCCCCATTTAGCTCCTCATTTTTATTCATGGCCTTCCTTGCTAATTCATATCCTGCAAAGTTCATGGCACCTAAAGGAGCAATCCAAAAGAACCTGGGCACTGCTCCTTTAAATAAGCCTAGGGGACCCTCGTGGCGTAGTATCGAGAAGGCTACTAAGGTCATTGACACAGACCGTCCCTGTGCAGTCATCATTCTAGTTTTCATAACATCAAAGGGAGTTGTGACAACTGCAGCCAAGCCCCCAGATAAAGCTCCCACGGCAATTGTCTCCCAGGGCTCCAGTTCCCGTCTTAGAACTTGCTGGACAGCCTGAGATCAAAATTCCAACACAATGGCCCTTATTATCCAACTCACAGCATACTTCCCTTTTGGATTAAAATTGTAGACAGATGAGTTATTCCAGCCCAATAGCAAAGACATAGCAATTGGTGAATGGTTGCTAACACCATCGCGAACCAACAACCCTTTAGATGACACAATTTAATCCTAACAAATAGGCAACCCATGTCGACAGATATAGCATACATCTAGCCATTCAGAACACTAAGCAAATGTATTTTATAAAATTCAGAAGTGAAGTTGACCGGAATTGGGTATTAGAGGGTGTGTAAGTCTCAAATCAAATAATATAAGAGTGTTTGGTATCATTTTTATTGGGAATGGTTCTTCCCCCTTGATAGCACACTTTTTGAGCATAGATTCCGCAAACCTCCTTGGTCCTATTATTTGGCATCAAACGTAAAGCTAATTGGCAAGTGTGACAGAAAAAGCCACCGGCGAAAGGTTCAAACCAATGAGAAACACGAAAGAAATGTCAAAGTGCAACCTGAGATGTCAGCTTGTTGCAGGAGATGAATATTATGAGAGATAACTAAACTTTGTGGCAAACTGGATGAACAGCTGGGTATGATAAGAGTGGTTCTTTATCCTTGGTAATTTGCCATTCAAGATGGTAGCCTCGCACGTCACACCTCCTTGGGTCCTATCATCCATTATGGGCCTCAACCTATGTAGCCCCAGCACATGGTAGGAGACAAAAGGGAGTGAAGGAGATTGTGGAAGCTGAGGCTGTTGAATAGTGTTAGAAAGCCCCTGATTATCTCCCTTGATTCTCTCTATTAATTGCCCATGATATTAGCTAGAATATATATTTCCTGATTTATTGTGATATTGCAATATCTGTAATTCATGACTGATTGATTGTAACCGGATATTTCTCTCATCCGGACTCTATATATTGTAACCCAATCATATGGAATAATGAGAGCATGAAATATTAGCAAAGTGAAGCATGGTATCAGAGCAAAGGGTTCGACCTGAACCCAAAAAATTTCGTGCGTTTCTACCGTGAGACAGAGAGAGAGAAAGCGAGGAGAGAGAGAGAGAGTGCGGCATCCCAGATCTGAAGCAAGGAGCAGACTGTGGACGACACCGCCCCTCCAGTCCTCACCGGCGTCCTCAGATCGACGCATCCCTCGAAGACGACGTTGAACGGAGCTGCGCGTGAAGCCCACGCGCCGCCACTGCCTCTGTGCGTGAATTGCACGCGTCACCACTGAAAACTAACAGTACCTCCCAAAGATCCAGAAAATGAACCCATCAGAATTCCCACCCCTTTTTGGGTCCGTTCGCAATATTCCAATGGCCCTTATGTCCGGTACATCTTCAAATACTCAAAGCACTCTTTCTTCACCAATGGTCACCTCTTAAGCCTCTGATCCAGAACCATCCTTAGCCTCTGAACATCAAGCTATGGTGGTGGCTCACAAACTTAATGGTAGCAACTATCTCCAATGGTCTCAAAGTGTATTAATGTATCTAAGTGGAAAGCGTAAGGAGAAATATATCAATGGAGAGGCAAAACAACCTTCACATAATGATCCCAAATTTGACACCTGGTTTGCTGAAAATAATCAGGTGATGTCTTGGCTGTGCAACTCAATGACTCTCGAAATCAGTGAGGATACCTCTTGACAAGCACAGCTAAAAATCTGGGACGCTGCTAAGAGGACTTACTCTACACTAGACAACACTGCAGCCCTATTGGATCTAAGGAGGCAGCTCAAAGATCTGAAGCAAGGAAACTTAACTGTAACACAACATTACAGCACTTTAACAAAGATATGGCAGCAGTTGGATCTCTTTGAAGTTCATCCTTGGAAGGACATGGATGATGCTAATTACTACAGACAACTGGTGGAAAAAGGACGAACCTATGACTTCCTATTGGGTTTGAATGATGTCTTTGAAGAAGTAAGAGGCAGAATTATGGGTCTAAAACCGCTTCCCTCCCTATTTGAAGTCTTCAGTATGGTCAAGTTTGAAGAAAGCCAGAGACACCTCACTCAGGGTAACCAAACCCCAGTAGATGGCTCAGCATTGGTCACGAGGAGGTCCCCAACATTCGAGGGATCTGAGAAGAAAGGGAACAAGTGGTGCAATCACTGTAACAAGAAAGGCCACACCAGACGAATGTTGGAAACTACATGGGAAACCAACCCAAGGGAAGCAGAAACAACGGAAGATAGAAAAAGCCACCACACCTCCTCTGAAAAAAAGGTGATGATGGAGACCAGTTGACCAGAGAAGAGCTTCAAATGCTTCGTAAGATACTTGAAAAACAAAACAAATCAAAATCTGTTCCCAACGTGAACTTGATTCAGTCAGGTAATTCTATTATAGCCCTTAATGCAATGGTAACTAGTGATGAGACTTGGATTGTTGACTCCGGTGCTACAGACCACATGACTGGTAATAAGTCCTTCTTCAAAACCCTCAAATATTGCCATGAGAACCTTAGGGTAAAAGTAGCAACTGGACTATATACTAAAGTTGAGGGTGTTGGCATTGTGGCCCTATCTGATGATCTGGAAATCCATAATGTTTTGTTTGTTCCTGCTCTTACCTGCAACCTTATATCTGTGAGCAAATTGACTAAAGGACAAGTATGTCGGGTAATCTTTGATGATGTTAAGTGTGTTTTTCAGGATTCGACCTCAGGGAGGAAGATTTTGACTGCTAAAGAATGGGATGGACTCTACTACTTTGAAGGAAAAAATATGAAGACTGCAGGAGCAAAGAAAGCTATGGTTAGCTCTAATTCTCAGAATAAAAATGTAATGTTGTGGCATCAAAGATTAGGCCACCCCAGCTTTGATTATATGAAGCATGTGTTTCCAACTTTATTCAATAAAAATTCTTCTCCTTTCCAATGTGAAACGTGTCAAATTGCCAAACAAACTCGCGCCTCTTATCCCAAACATACTTACAAACCTACTGCCCCGTTTACAATGATTCATACCGACATTTGGGGACCAGCCAAAATCACCACCCGAACAGGCACAAAGTGGTTTATTACATTCATCGATGATCACACCCGGGTCACATGGGTTTACCTTATGAAAGAGAAATCCGAAGCTTTACAAATTTTCAAAAACTTTCACTCTTTTGTGAGAACCCAATTCCAAACTCCCATCAAAGTTCTGAGAAGTGACAATGCCAAAGAGTATGTGAGTGGAGCCTTTAGGGAATTTCTTGAGCAGGAAGGAATCCATCACCAAACCTCATGTGTCTATACTCCTCAACAAAATGGAGTTGCTGAGCGGAAAAATAGGCATCTTCTAGAAGTAACCCGAGCTATTATGATGGAAAGAAATGTTCCAAGTCTGTTTTGGGGAGATGCTGTGCTAACCGCTGCTTATCTCATCAATCGAATGGCCTCCAAAATTCTCCATTTCACTACCCCCATTCAAAAACTCCTCGAGACCTACCCCACCTCACCTATCATCAATACCATCCCTCAAAAGGTCTTTGGGTGTGTCGTCTTTGTTCATAAACATGATGGGGGCAAACTTGATGCT